TTAAGCTCTGGTTTCTTTCTTTCAGTTCTATAATAGCTCAAGCTCTCTTCAATTCAACAAAACTCATTTTATTCAATATTTTGTTTTCTGGTTTCCGTCCTCACCTTACCATACTATTACTAATTTTACCTACTACTGAGTTCAAAGATGTCTTCCCTCATCATATTATTATTAATTTTATCATAGATGCATATTTAGTAGTAAATAATATCAGAATTCAGAATTATTCCAAGATCTGGAGACTAGAAATCATCATAGATTCCATAGAGAACTCCTTATTTGAAAGCAGTAATAGGTTCTTCCTTGGGTAGTACACAAAGGAAAAAACTTGGATGCAATTCCATAGGTCCTATTGATTTTGTTCTCTAATAAGAATTGAAATTTCACCAGAGTAATCCATGTTGACATATAATGGAAACCTTTATCATGCAAATTATCAAGGTAAAAGTCCAATTCTTATTAGACAACAGAACCAAAAGTACCTATGGAACTACATCTAAGTTGTGTCCTTCCACAAAACCCATATATCCATTAACCTTTATAAATAAAACACATTTTATAGCAGCCAAACATCACAGATATTTTGGTCCATTAGCATCATTCCATTCTTTCCAGAAAACCATCATTACCTTAATACATTCTCAATAAACCTTTAAACAACCAAGTTCCACTACTGTTATCCATCCAAAACCATAACCCTAGCCCTTGACATTGTACTTTCCTTAATATCCTATATTCTATACCAATAAACCATGTAAAGGACTCAAGTGATATCTACTTAAACATTAGTATACGCAAATTTCAGTAAATAACTAAACGCATATGTTTTAGTGCATAAGCATGTTATTTGAAGGGTGGAACAGGCATAAAGTATCTTGTTATTAATCAAACAAGTACCGTCAGAAACTCGATGCACACACAGAAGAAATCACACAACTGACCTCTTTCAATGAGTTTATAAAGCTCCACTTCACGCTGTCTTCACCTTCACAAGGAAGCAACAAATTACTTGGATATCCTCTAAAGTGTACCTACAAACCATAAGATACAGATTGATTGTAGCTAGCATAAATCCCTCCTAATTTCTATTTAATTTTAAGCGGTGCTCCCCTTCCCCTCCCAAAATCAAAAAATAGCTCATAGCACATGGAGCTATATTCATTTGATAAGCAGCAGATGAAAACAAAATAAAAATCTTTACCGTCAAATTCCACGGCCTCTCGGGCTCCACGCATAGAAGATCAAAAAGAACACCAGTGGGTATATACCTGCACGAATCATGAACAAATTGGTGAGTGCAACGCGATGCGAGAGTGAAAAAAGCATTGTAGACGCACCACTTAAGAGGAAGGCCCTTGTATTCAAACCAAATGGTGTCAACTCCAGGGGGAAGCGCGGTGCTGAAGTGAGGCTTCAAAAGCGAAATCAACAAAGGCAAGTAGCCTATCCTGGGGGCCAACAGCTGAAAGCGAAAAGAAGCGTTGAGTTAAGCGAAGAAAGAGCGTGCGATTGAAGTGAGATGAAAACCCTAACGTAAGAGGAATACGAGAGCAGGTGGAGGAGGAGGGAGAGTGGTGACTTCAGATTGGTGGAGATGAATCTGCAGAGGAATGGCCCCTTCCCACACCTGCTTCTGCGCCTCACTCATCTCTTCTTCCAGATCTCTCTCTCTCTCTCTCTATTCACTCTTACTTGCGCATTTCTCTTTTTATAACTTTAATATTCTCACAAGAATATAACTAGCCAGTTATTATAAATTTGCAAAGGAATTCTATTAACTAAAAAATCCTTTTAAGTGTATATCCATACATAGCCAAGTGTAAAACTCTATATAATTTAAATAAGGGTTTAATGATCATTTATTGTCATTAAAAAGTTAAGATTAATCAAAAATTATTTTTAAGATAACTTATAAGATAAAAATGTATACATAGCCTTTATTTATTTATTTTGGTAATGTGCCTATTTTCTCAAAAGAAAAATGAAAAATTAAATATTGTATTTTTTTAAAATAAGGCTTTAATATTGAATATGAATATAATTTTTTTTTATTAATTTGAAATTTTGTTTGAGTACCATGTGGTGAAGTATATTTATAAACTCAATCATATGTTTCTCAAACTAGATAGCAAGACAAAGTTAATGTAAGATATAATACTTTATGTTTGTTCTTATTAAAGAAGATGGGAGTTTAAGAATAACTTTATGAGAAACAATGATAATAAATTTAAACGATTGAGATTTCCTAAACCCTAAAACTCAAACATCACCTAATAAAAGTTAAGTTTTGGCGTCAAAATCAAGTTACCTCAAATGGATAAACACAAATTTAAATTTAATTTTTTATGTGTAATTATAACCAACTTTCCAATTAATCATAACATTTTTACCAACTATAATACACTATTTATACTCTAAGTGTGCATTTGATACATGCTTAAGTGTAATTAAGGATGGACAAAAAAATTAAACTAAACTACACAATAAAAATTGAATTATTTGTAAAAAAAATTGGACTAAATTATTTTAAAAAAATAATAACTAAACTAAACTATTTGAAAACTAAATTGAACTACACAAACTAAACTACTTTTAAAAAATAGTAAAAATTAAAGATGTCAAAAATGATCTCTTTGATAAGTTAGCCTAATAGTCCAACAACCCAAACTTAAAAAAAAATGACAAATAATTGTGTCAATTTGGTTAAATTTGGTTAGACATGATGAATCAATTAGATTAAATTACACCATTAACTTTTAGGCTTAAAATTTACTAACTATATTTGGCTCAATATTATATATATATATATATATATATATATATATATATATATATTTTGTTTAAAAAAGTTAAATAAAATAAAAAATATAATAAAGTGGACAAATTTGATATATCTTAACATAACAACAATTTAATGTAGTTTAAATTACACTTTAGTTCAAAATTTTAAAGTTTAATTTAGTTTAATGAAATAAAAAAATTTATTTATTTAAATCAATGTGTAATTCAATTTAATTGAAACAAACTATTTTTTAAGTTTAGTACAATTTTTATAAATTTAGTGCAATTTATTTCATTTTGATCACCACTAAATAGAGCTCAAATATAAATAAGGATAAATTTAACATGGTATGTTTTATATGCTTTATTTAATCATTCTATGATATGTATTGATTAATTGTTGTATTTATTGTTATTTTAGAGTATTAATAGTCAAGGGATTCATAAAAGTTATAAGTTGTTGTTAAGGTAGTTTTAACTAAGGTTAAGTTGAATAAGTTTAAGAAAGGATATCTAAATTTTTTTTTTTAGGATTTGAACTTTATAAGTTCATATCTTAAGAAAACTTGGAGAAAAATTAGAGTGAGAAGACATGGAATTAGGAAGATTTCTTTCTTCTTCTTAATTCCTTGGAACCTTTATCTCCTTCTTAATATCTTAGTAAAGTTGAGAGATTGGAGATTCAAGACTTAGAGGTTGAGAATCTCAAGTGGAGAAAGTGGTATGATGATCTCAAAAACATTTGATTTTCATTCATTTTCTTATGATTTCAGAACAATTTGAGATAAGAAAAACTTGTTGATTGCTATTATTACAATATAAATGAATTCTGTCTACATATTAAATTTGAAACAAATAACTAATTTTTCTCTTTTAATTGAGGAATAAGATGTTGATATAATTTGTTAAATAATCTATTATATTTTTAATTCATTCATTATTTAGTTGAATTTGAATTTTAGAATTTATTTTTACCTATTATTATTATTCTAATTATTTTTACTTATACTTTTGGTTACATTCATAAATAAATTCATTTTTTTTGTGTACAATAATCACACTAAAATTTGAATCTAAGACAGACTTTATGTGTACTATATCTTAAGTTCAAGATTAGGTTAATCCTCATTGTTCATATATAAATTCAATTTTGTTACATAATTTGTTATATATGTTATAAAACAAAGCTCTCCTATCGAGCAATAATCATTTTATATACATGTTTTGAAAGATTAAAAAAAATTGCCTTTAAAGCATATAAGGCAACACAACGCATTTTTTTTTTTTAATCTGTTTAAAGTGTGTGAATAAAGGAAACACAATAACCCACATACTAAACAATCAATTGAGTTGGCCTCTCTTAATATATGTAATGTAAGATGACTTGATCAAGAGTTTTAAGAGTTAATAATAAGAAATTTCATCATCAAATATTATAAAAGAAAATCATATATTAAAAGGAAAAAATTCAATTACATTACATGCACTCGTACTTGCACAGTTGCACTCTCTCGTCTTAATCAGTTTCTTGAAAGAAAAAAAGAAAGAAAGAAAATGTCTGAGCAACCTGCACTCTCTTGTTTAATTAGATGTTACAATATTCCTGCTATGACACAACTCACACAATATATATCGTCTGGCGTCACTTCTGCACAATTCAAGGCAACTCATTACTTTAGAATGCTGTTAACATTGCTTGTTATCGATCGGTGCCTTTCCGACTTAGATTCTGAAATAAAGGAGATGTTTAAATTTGATGGAAACAGGTAAAAGAAATATATATAAACATACCTAAATGAAGAGATATTGCAATAAATAAAAGACACCAACCAATACAAAATAATTAAAAATTAATGCAAGAGAAAACCGTTCTCTTTAACATTATCAATACTTTAAATAAATTTAAATTTTCATTTATGTATATTTTTTTTTTATATGCAATGAAGGGAAAATGAATTAAAGGGAAAGATGGTGTACATATTAGCAGTGTTTAAAAAACCGGACGGTCGGACCGGTTAGACCGGGAACCGGTGGTCCAGCCGGTCCGAATCTGAAGTTGGATCGGTTATGCAGTCGACCCGTTTCAAACCGGATTGAACCGGTCAATTTTCCGGTTCAACCGGTGAACCGGTGGGTCAAACCGGTTCAACCACTTTTTTTTTTTTTTTTTTTTAAATTTTTTTAAGGGACCATAAATCACAAAAATAATAATGAAAATTGAATCTCTTAATGAAAAAGCAAGGAGTCTTATTAAATATAACAATGACTACTTGTTCTAATATATTTGTTTGCAATATATACAACTTAAATAACTTTTATAGTATATTATTAATTTTAAATTATATATTTAATAATGCAATATCTATGTAAATATTACATATATTATTTTCTGATATTAATTGCAAGCATATTATATATGTACATATTATTTATATTTTTAATTTGTATTAATATACCATTTAACATGTAATTTTTTTACGTATTTTTTACAAAATAAAATAAAAATAATTTTAAATAAGATAGAAAAATTGAAATTTAAAATAAGATATGAATTTATTAAAATTTATAAGTATAAAATATATTTAATATGAATATTTTTTTAATAAAAATAAATAAAAACCGAGTCATGCGGTTCAACTAGTGACCCACCGGTTCAATCTTTAACCCACTGACCCAGTACCTTAACCGGTTCAATGACCGGTCCGATTTTTAAAACTATGCGAGGAGACTAGGAAGAAAAAGCAAAGGAGAAAAGCAGGAGATCCTGCCATGCCACGTGGATAACGTAATTGGTTGACGTGGCAAAAGTTGGGCCCACATGGGTCCCACTTTAGACTCAATTGGCTGGGGAGCAGTATACGGAACTGCAACTTCAAGTCTTAACATGTTTCGTATACGGAATTCTTTTTTTGGTTCTCATGATAGTTTAAAACAAAGAAAGTGATTTTCACGAATATAATTTTTTAAAATTATTTCTTATTTTATTTTCTCACAAAATTATTTTCATGAGTGAAAATTTATTTTTTTTGAATTAGAAATTATTTTATATAAAAATTACAATATCATTTTCTAAAAATATATTTTTTTCTTTCTTCTCAAACTCTTACTTCCTTTTTTCTTTTTTTTTTCTTCCACTTTTTATTTCTCTTGTTCGCTCTTTCTTATTCTCATTGGTCACTCTCTGCCTTTTCTTAACTCTCTTCCTCTTTTTCTCTCTCCCACTCATATATTTTTATATATTTAATTTTATTAATTTTAATAATATTATTAAAGTCTATTTTTTTAATATTTTAATATAATATTTGTTAATCTTTATTATTATTTTAAATAAAATAAATAATATATTTTTATTTCTCTTAATAATGTAATATTTTCTTTTATTATTGTTTTGATTGAATTATGTACTTAAATAATTTTAATAAATTTTTAACTTTTAAAAATAATTTATTGTTATATTTTTTCATAAAATTTGAGTAAATAAATGTGTTAATGAGTTTATTTTAATAAATAATATTTTTATAAAAATATTTATACATCTAAAAATATATTATTGCAATAAAATATAAAAATCTTTGATTTTCAAGAATCTTTATGAATATTTTCAAAAAAAAAATTATGAGTAACCAAATATATTTTAACTATTTCTATAAATCATCATTGTCAAAATTTGTAATTCTTTGAAATCATAATTTTTATGCATAAAAAATTCATTTCTTACCAAATAGACTAATTGATTGATGATTTACAAATTGAAGTCGTTTTTATTAATTTTAAAGAATAATTTAATCAAAATTTACAATTTCATAAGATTTATATGGGTGATTAATTAAAAAAATTAATATAACCTATCATAATTTTTAACATATTGCTATGATTTCTTATGGAAATATTTTCTTTATTAGTTTCTTAATCATTATGTTAGAGTTAGATATAAGATTTAAGACCCGTTGTTGCCCTAATTAACTTGTAATTTGTCTAAAGCAACAAACTCTTAATTTTAGTATGTTTTATTTTTTTAGTATGGTTAAATGTGTTTTTTTAATAGAATTATCAAAATCGACTCAATTTGCTGGACAACAAGTCTATTGACCTATTATGTCAAGTTAAGTTAAACTCTTTATTTTTAGACTTGAATTAAGTCAATTTATTATTTGTTAGACGGACCAATTGACCTAAGTCATACTAATACAAAATAAGTTCAAAAGATATTAAGCTTATTTAGTAAAATATTTTTTATTTTTAAAATTAAATGTAAAATATTAAAAAAATAAAATGACTTGATTTAATTAGACATAATGAAAAAAATGATTTTATCTAAAAATCAAATTAGGTCAAATTAACCTATTTTTAATATTTGATCTATTAGATTAAATTAAACTAGTTCATTTGATAGTTCTGTATTTTAGATATAAATATGCTTATTTCACGAATCGACCTAATTAAGTTGTTGAAACAAAAAAGTACCAACATCAACATAATTCAAATAATATGACACAACTATTATATCCTATTCTAATTACTGTTGTGATACTTGGATGCTTAATTTATTACTAATGATAATTAAATACTTAACCTTCAACTCATTTACAAAGCTGCAAACAGGGAAAATCTTCCATGCATCCAAAATATTACCACACACTACACCAATATTAATTTCTTTGCATAATAATAGATGATTACTACTCACCGTCTAAATTAATTGTCATGGTTAATCCACCATCCGCCCAACAGTAAAAGATTTGAGTAATTTGTTGTACATGATCATTCAAAATTTGTTATTTTCAAATAAATAGATTTGAGTCTGAGCTTTTCTCACTTAACTGTGTAACTAAATATCTGGAACACGTATAATAGCTTCACTCAATTCAAATAATATTATCTAATTGATATATAGTCTAAAAAAAAAAAAAAACTGATCACAAAATCTAATTCCCTGATACACAGCCATTAATTATGAACGTTTACATACGTATAACAACATCGAGCGTTCTTGAAGTTAATAAGAGTAAGCTTTTCTTCGGAAATACATTATCATATTACTGTAAACACTAATCATATGTTTGAAACCTTCAAATCAAGGTTGATCTCTAATAGCCAATCATCCACATGAACCCAAAAAAAAAATGATGAGCCATTAAATAAAGCTTAGAGAATGATTGGAAACAAATGTGAAACTAAGGGCCGTTTGTTCAGTTATGAACAACCGCCATAGTTGGTATGTTAGAGATTCCTCACGCTAATGTCGGTTATTGTAAGATCCTTCTTTGGAATAATAGCTACCTGCTATACGCCCCAGAATCTAATAAGAAAGAACAAACGAGAAGCATAGGATCAATGAGGGCAGAAGAGAAGAGACCTATAACACATATAATATTATTTAATTAATTAGTAAATAGGCATTGATTCAAACTTGATGGCAAAGATAAGAGGAATCCATCCATTTGATCGAAAAAACAAATGAAAAGTACTTTAAAAAGAAAAAGAGATCAAAGGGTGACACAGCCCCCTATCTTACTTTTTTTTTCTCCCAAACTTCTCTCTCATGTTCTCTTTTTGTCCTCTTTATCAAAACCCCAAGCAAACCCCACATTCCACCCCTTCTCCTCTTTGTCTCTCATCTTGTTCCTGTGTTTGTTTCTCCCACTTTCTGCCTTTGGATCTTCTTCTTCCCTAAGGTCTTTGATCTTTCTTCCCCTCTATTTTAACTATATATATAATCTTTTCATATATGTAAAAAAAATTATGCTTTTAATTTTTAATTTTGCCCATATGGTTTTTTATTTTTGAACCATCTTATGCATGGAAGGGTTTGATTTTGTATAATTTTAGTGATTGTCATTTGGAATTTTGAGGCTTTGTGCACTCATTGATATCTATATATATACTTATTTCAAAGTTGTTCAGATACTAAGAGGAAGAAGGGGGTCCAAAGTATATATATATACACATGGCACCTGTTTTGCCTCCTGGTTTCAGATTCCACCCTACTGATGAAGAACTTGTTGCTTATTACCTTAAAAGGAAGATCAATGGCCGAAAGATTGAGTTGGAGATCATACCTGAAGTTGATCTATATAAATGTGAACCATGGGACTTGCCAGGTAAATAATTAGATGCTTATAACTCACATACACAACATATTATCATTATATATGTCGTGCATGGGTTTGCACGTATCTCGTACTATTTTTTCTTCTTCTGGGGAGTAATTTTATTTTTGAGAAATCAGATTGAAATTGTTTGCGCATGGCTGCGTCTAAATAAGTAGTCGCTTTTAAACTTCGATCGTATTCCAATATATACCAGCACCAGATAACGTGTAAAATTAATTTGTTGACTTTAGTCTTGAACATTGACGGCAAGGAAATCCCATCCCATGATGACGTATAAATTTAACAGTATGAAGAGAAGTTTTGATAAAAGATCTCAAATTTTTTTTCTTTATGATTTTGTAAAACTTAATAGAACTCATATATAACCCAAAAAAGTGCAATACTAATCTAAAAGATCTAACTATCCCATAATGATTTTGTACAACATATAATATCATCCAAAATACTATATCTTAGAGTGGGCTTGCACGCGCTTTAGACGCGATTTGCATCCGATCTTTATTTGGTGATGCTGAAACACATACTTGCTTTCTTGGTCAAGTATATTTTCATGCTTTATCATAAAATATCTAATATGACATATGGTTGAAAGGACTGTAATTATGAGTTTTAAAGAGGATGGTCCCTTCACCTTTAGGGTTCCTGTATAGGGTCACTTAAGAATAAAAATTAGTAATGAGACAATAATAGATTCCCAAGTCAAAAAGCGTTAGCTATAAAGAAAAGGATTACATTGTCTACACGGTATAATACATTTATACACGACTCCCATGCAATATACTTTGCGTTTCTTATTCTCTCATTGCTATTTGCTTTATCACGTTGCGACTTTGAAATGAAAACGATGAAATATTATAGGGAAAAAAAAATCAACATTAAAAACAATCAGTCTGCAGTGAACCTTTTGCTAGCATATATATATATGTATAACCTCTCTCTCTCTTTTTAATTACAGGCAAATCATTGTTACCGGGAAAGGATTTGGAGTGGTATTTTTTTAGCCCTCGTGATAGGAAGTACCCAAATGGATCAAGAACAAACCGTGCAACGAAATCTGGATATTGGAAGGCGACAGGGAAGGATAGGAAAGTAAATTCACAGACACGGGCAGTGGGTATGAAGAAAACCCTAGTTTACTATCGAGGAAGAGCACCTCATGGCTCTCGTACTAATTGGGTTATGCATGAATATCGTCTTGATGAGAGAGAATGTGAAACTGCTTCAGGCTTGCAGGTATTCCACCTACTGGATTTCTTTTTTCTTTATTCATAATATAGTTATGTTATGTTTTTTTATTTTATTCTATTTGGTATTTAAAACTCCTTTCTATTAACTGTACATATACAATCAAACTCATATATATATAATACAGTATCAAGTAAAAATGCTAATGATATTAATTGTGTTAATCTTTGTGGAGTATCTCTGGATCAAATTGTACAATATACGTCTAATCCCTAAGCATGCTTTTCTTGCTGTACATATACAACTGATAAGACTTCAAGATATTTTTATATGATCGAATTCTTCAAGTTGATATATGGCTATGGGAAAATGTAATTTCAGGATGCATATGCCCTTTGCCGTGTGTTCAAGAAGACTGCAGTGATTACTCCAAAAGATGGGGGGCACTATGTTAATGTTCCCATTGCCAACCAAATTACAAGCGATCACTCATCAAGCATTGAACTATGCTCTGAAGGAAGGGGTGAAGATTTAGATAGCTCACATTATTTGATGCCCATGGACAATTGCTCACCCCACAACATGGGAAATGAGACTTCTCTCACTATCAATGGTGGGTCAAGGGATCATCCCAAATGGTCGCACTTCTCATCAGAAGATCCCTTACTTAGTCTTCCAACTTCTTCATTTCATAATTTTGAAGGCATCACATACCCTCCATCCCGGGTACGTACACTGCACAATTTTCTGTACGAATATTTGAATATAAACAAAAACTGTAAATAAAATTTTACTGGAATATATTATTTTTTGAGCTAACCACTATTTAAATGTCATTCATTTTTAGTTTCTGAAAATTACAAAAATTTGTGCTCAATTATAATTACTAATGAGGAACTAAAACCTAATATTTTATAAAGATTAAAATAAATAAAATTTTTATAAAAATTACAACTATGAGAAACAATACTTTTAGAGATAAAAACATAGTTATCTTCCCCTTGCACATGATTTAATATTTGCAGGTGGATATAGCACTAGAATGTGCAAGGATGCAGCATAGGTTTGCTATGCCTCCGTTAGAGTTGGATGATATCCCTCAAGTTGGAATCTCAGAGCTTAAAATGACACAGGCCTCCAGTTCCATGCAAGGAAGCAGAACTGAAACGGATATCTTGCAGGAAATTCTTTCAGTTGCTCATGCTTCTCAAGAATTGATAAATCAATCAAGCTACTCACAGGAATGGGATTGCAATGATAATTATGCTCCTCGTAGTGAAGAAGATTTTACCTTCATGGTTGGCACCAATTACAATCATTTAAATGAAATGAGGTATGTTGACAAAACATGGGAAGATGCAAACACAAGGACAATAGAGATCGGAGATGTGGATGAAGAATTTAAGGCAGAGAGGATGGTGGAGAATTTAAGATGGGTTGGAATGTCAAGAGAAGATTTAGAAAAGGTATAGTAATATTTATATTTTTTAAGTTTCTTTGGTACATAAATATTAGTCCATTTAATATTTTATTTCAATGATAGAAATAAAGATTGGCTTAAAGTTATGGCCAAGAAAGGAATTATATATCTTAATTAACAGTATTGTTAGAGGGATTGAAATCATGTGATCCACTATATCTCTTATATATCTCTAGTCCCTCCAATTGAAATTAAAAAATTTCTCATTAATTTTTAAATTATACTGTATAATAATATTTTCTCTCTCAATTATTAGTTGTTGATTTTTATACTGAAGTGTTATATTTTAATTGAAAGGGTCTACAGGAAAAGAAATGCAAAGGAATACATAATTTGATTCCTTGCTGAAGTCCCTTAAAATTATAAATTAATCATCAATAAGTTATATGATTGTTAATGGATCTGACCAATTGGACGAACAGATGGAAGAACAAAAGACTGTCCCAATAGAGGATATTCCAAATTTCCAAACTAACAGGGAAGAAAATGAGGTGCAAGGTATATATATCTTAATTAATATATAATTCCATGCTTTGCTATTTTTTTTATTTCTTTTTAATTTTTGGGTAAATGATCATGGTCATGCAAACTTCTAATCTTTTAGTAATTGCTGGATGGTCAGAATCTGAGCAACATAGCAACAATGAACACAATGACACTGACATCAACGATTTTTCATTGGGCTTCATCAATGATGATGACCCGAACGAGAACTTCATAGAAGATGGTAACATTGATGACTATTCAAGTTCTCCTAGCTTTGAAGTCGTTGAAGAAATAAAGGTCAATCATGGAATGCTTGTTTCAACTGGTCAAGTAGCCGAGACATTCTTCCACCAAATAGTTCCTTCACAAACCCTTCAAGTTCACCTCAATTCGGTGGTGGCAAACGATCACTGTGTAGAGAATGCAGAGGCAATGTTAATGATAATGGAGAACCAAGGGTCTTTGCTAAGGAAGTTTAAGTCCTATGTTATGGGAAAACTATCAAAGCCATCAAAGGCAATAGCAAGTGCTGTTGTATTTGTCTTTGCACTTGTGTTGATGCATTGTGCTTATTTGAAGGAAGAAGTGGAAATTTGGAACGAGACATGTTGCAGCATGAAGAGAATGAGTCAATCATCTGAGATAATCAAATGGAATGAGTCAAATGAGGTTTGGTTTGTTGGTGTCAAAAGTGAGAAAGGATTAAGTGCGGTCTTGAAGAAAATAGGCATTTTCCTCACCATTTCTTTGGCTCTATGTACCATGTGGGCTAACCACAATATGATAGCTAACCCTTGATCTCCTAATTCATTTAAGGAATTAGTTTGACAAAGCTCAAATTGTACGTGCTTCTCCCAGTAGGTTGATGTATCCCTATATTTGTTATTATATTTTACTTTAGCATCACTTGTTATTTCAAACTTAATTGTTTCGATCTTAATTTCGAATAGAATGATCATCTTTAATTAATATTTGACTCTCTTAATTTGATTTGAAGATTATTCAACCCAGATATATAATAAATTGCCGTACGTGTGGTGCAGGTCTCAAATTTTTTTAAAGGAATAAAAAATTAATATTATCATACAATCAAAATAATCCAATACCATGCAAAAATTTCATTTCATTTTATTAACAACTACATGAATGGTGTGATGGTATTTCTACAGTACAAGTTTTCATTGAATGGGTAGTTTAAAACAAAGTTTGCTACTAAGTTAATAAGTATTTATTTTACCTATACAAAGTGAACCCAAGTTTTTTTTTTTTTTTTCGTGGTATCAAAGTTTGTAGGTGGCCTTCATCCAAATAGATTATAATTGATAATTGTATCAATATTACTGCAGCTCAGTCATAATCACATTATAAATTTAGGAGATATGGAATAAATTAACATTCACATTAGTTATTAAACTTATCTAAATAATTAATTTTTTAGATTAATCTCAACAACGTCAAGGTGCGATATTTGAGAGAAGACATGGTTCTTATCACAGGCATGGATGAAACAATGATAAAGGAGAAGCTCAATGGTGATGATTACTTCCTACCATTACTGCATTCAATACAAAAAATGGAGCTTGGGGATAGTAGTCGAAAACAAACTAGTGAGGGTTCGATGTTATGGAATCCCTCTCTAAGCTTGGGGCAATGATTGCTTCTCAAAGGTGGTCAACATGTTTGGATTATTAATCAAGGTTGATAAGGTAACAACTGACTTTTACAGACTAGATTCAGCTCGATTATTAATTATAACTATAGCTCCACAACTAATTAATCAATACAACAAGAAGAAACACCCCATCTTGTATCTCCTTTTGATTATGGAGCCGTTGTGAACCATTCTAATAGGGGTAGTAGGTCACCTGCCTTGTCGCGTGGCCATGTAAAAAATAGTATGCCAACATGGGAGTTTAAGGAAAATGGGGGAAAATTATGCAATTGCAACAAAAGAAAAAGACCCAACTAGGCAATCGGCCCAACAAGTGCAAATAGTGCAGCCAACAAATTCTCTAATGACGGCCCATGTCATGGTGATAACATTTATGTTGGAATCAACCTAAAATCTGCCACAAACAGGTCGTGTGGTGTTGTAAGCGGTTAAGTAGAAAGCAATTCAACTGAAAAAGATGTAGATGTTTTCATAACATTAAAAGGGGGAGAAATAAGGGTTCATTGAGGAACACATCCGACAGTGAAGAGGAAGGACACAACGTTGTAGATGAAGAGGACGATCACAAGGATTCTAATTGTTGTGCCCAAAGTGTGTGGGTATCCTCCAAAGTCCGGTTACAAGTGAGATAGAAGAGAAAATGTATGTACGATGAGTATTTTTCAAAGACGAAAATTAAGGAAAATAGATCCTCATCATACCCCTACTTTCTTCTCTCTTCGATCTCACTTCTACCCTTTTTGTCCAATCTCTCTTCTTTTTCTATCACATCAATCACACAGGTTCTATTACTTTCTCTCTCTACCCTCTCTCCTTTCTCTCTGTCTGTTATTTCCACTCCCAATTTTGAGTGGATGAATATCACTACTCCGATACAAACAAGCTACAGCTGTCATCGCATCTACTTTTCCAAAAATCATTTCCCACAAATGTTCACTACTTCGGTGAATCCGATGATAATGCGTTTCCTGGGAACAGCACAATATAAAGCCTACTCTTTATTTTCCATAATTTGATTTTGTTTCTTTCATCAAAAAATTCATGTCAACGTTTTCAAAAAGAAAAAATCGAACAAAACTCCACCACGCACTATTTTTCACAAGAAGAAAACAGATCAAATGCATGCAATAATAACAACTAAAAATAATTCGAAGTCCCGAGACTGAGACCTCAACAAACGCACACGAAGGAAAATAGATTTTTATAACTTAAAAATAATTCATTAGTATTTGAAAATATAGGGATTTTAAAGTATAGGTGTATTAGAGAGATTTTGAATGACTTTTTAGTGATTCTATATATACCAAATTCATAAAACAATCTCATCCATTTCCCTCTGAGGGGAGGCGAGTGTTAGAGGGAAGTATACAAATAACATACTTGAGAGTTGCCTCAGCACTTTCAACTGTAACTTTATCATCGGTCTCATCACGGTAAGGAAGGCCTAGGTCAAAATACTTGATGTCCAACTCCAAGAAGGGCAAAATTAGCTATCCCATAGGAGAATGAAAGAAAAATATTAATATTATAAGCACTTTAGAGACGAAAATAAAAATGTGATAATCTCATTAACAGCAACATGATGATAAATCACCTTGTCCTTGATTGACTTCCAGATAACCCGAGTCATTTCATCTCCTGCAAAGCAGTATCCACAAACAAACAATGTAAGAAGCAAGATAAAGACTGTCCCAACAGATAAACACAAGAGAAAAATGCATATGCACTGACAGTATAAAGCGTATATCCATTAAACTCCAAACACAATCAACAAGGAAATTAATGACGCAAATTGAAATTTCTACTTTTTTATTAGAGGCGAAAAAAGTTCAGTATATTTTAGCATTCCATAATTTGGGTATTTTAAATGAAATACTACGCGAACACCCCCTCGTGTTAGAGATTATTACTAGCTACACTTACACCTTTGTTGTTTGAAAAATTACATCTTCCTATTTTAATTTTTATTTACTATTCTAACAACTCAACATTTTTTTTTAAGAAATAACACGTTTTAAGTAGGAATTATACATTAAGGAACCCTTAAAATTATTTGAGTACAAACCACAAAAACTCATAAATCCAGCTCATACACAAAACACCAGCAGTAATGAATTCGTCCACCCATCTTGAGGTGAATTGGGATAGAATCAAGAGATAAGGAGAGCAGAGAAAAGGTAAAGAGAGAAAGTAATAGATGCAATAAATAATGGGATGCGATATGAAGAGATACACGGAAATTGGGTTACAAGTGAGATAGAAGAGAAAATGTATGTACGATGAGTATTTTTCAAAGACGAAAATTAAGGAAAATAGATCCTCATCATACCCCTACTTTCTTCTCTCTTCGATCTCACTTCTACCCTTTTTGTCCAATCTCTCTTCTTTTTCTATCACATCAATCACACAGGTTCTATTACTTTCTCTCTCTACCCTCTCTCCTTTCTCTCTGTCTGTTATTTCCACTCCCAATTTTGAGTGGATGACGTTAATTCTTGAGTTTGTTTCTTTAATTTGTTTCTCTTGTTGTGTGTGCTTCCGCTGTTGCAGTTTTTATTTTCCCTCTGGTACCCAACACTAATGACGTTGTTAATTCAAGTGCAACGTCAAAGGAAGGGGTTAACGTGGGAACTTCGAAGGTCGCCGCTGATATGGAGGAAGATCCAACCATTAGAGGGGAAATCACAGTAAAGCTCGATGGAGTAAATGAAGCATGCAATAAAGCAACCTCAGAAATGCACAGAGAAAGCAGTGAAAAGGAAAGAGGTAAGGATTGATATGCACTTTTTTTTAGCAATTCTCTATCTGATACCAATATTTGGAACTACAACAAAATATTCTGGTTGAAAAATGAGGCAGTAGATGTGCAAAAGTTGTGGGAACTAGGAAAGTTACTCAAAGTATCATACAAAGGGAATGAAGAAGAAATGATTGGGAAATAACAATTGATGGAAGAGAGGGACCAAGTAGCTAATGAAGGAAAACGTGAGAAGAATCAAAAGGGAGATCAACAAAATGTTGATAATGCCATATAACATCAAAGGATTGGGAAGTAAGATTAAGTGGAAATTTATAAGAAATTTGGTGTGCAAGGAGAAAATACAGATCTTATGTTTACAGGAGACCAAAATGTCAGAGGTTAGTAGTGCCCTCTATCAAACTTTGTGGGGGTAATTGCCAAGTCGAGTCAGCTTTGAGCTTGGTAGTCAATACTGTTGAAGGACTACTTTGTCTATGGAATTGCTTAGAGGTGAGTAATCAATTTTCAAGATAGGGTTATATAGGATTGGAAGTATGGAAGATGGGGGGAGTTGCATGTTACCATTGTCATTATTTACACCCCATGTGACTTATCACAAAAAAAGAAGACTCTGGGATGAATTAAAATAGAAAAGAACAAATAGAAACAATAGTTTATGGTGTGTGCTTGGAGACTTTGATAGTGTTAGACGATGTCGAGAGAGATATGGAGAAGGAAGGAGGGATTGAGGGGCAACAAATATGAGGGAATTTAACCAATTCATCAAGAAAATGGTGAATAAGCATTTAATAGCCGATGCAAATAGTGTTAGAAAAGTCGACGCTATTTTAAATATACCGTCGGTTTTTCCGACATTAATTAAATTTAAATTAAATTAGTGTCGAAAAAGTCAACGCTATATTTAAAGAATAGCGTTAACTTTTACGACACTAAACTTAAAATATTTAATTTAAATTTATTTTAAGTTTAGCGTCGAAAAAGTCGACATTATTCTTTAAATATAGTGTCGACTTTTCTGACACTAATTTAATTTAAATTTAAATTAAATTAATGTTGGAAAAGTCGACGCTATATTTAAAAAATAGCGTCGACTTTTCCGACACTAAACTCAATTTAAATTTAGTGTCGAAAAAGCTGACGTTACATCTTAAAATAACGTCGATTTTTCCGACAGTATAGGTGCTTTGAGAGAGATAAAGATAATTTTTTTAATGTTATATACGCATAATGTGTCCTAGTACACTTGGTTATCACACTACAAAAAATATGCAATTTAGCGACCACCAAAATCGGTTGCTAAATTGCAAAAATCGGTCTCTATTTACCTTAGCGACCGAATTTAATCAGTCATTAAAACCCTGGTCGCTAAGCTATTTAGCAACTGAAAAATTTTCGGTTGCTATTTAGCGACCGAAAGTTTCGGTCGCTAAATGGTTGAAATGATTTTGGTGTATGGGACCAAATTAGTGACTGAATAAATCGGTCGCTAAATCGGTCGCTAAATATTTATTTTTTATTTGATTAAATTTTATAGACATCGCAAATTTGGTCGCTATGAACCACTCATATTTGGCCTTTTAAGGATTTTATTTCACAATACTTAAGTTTTTAGCATGTTTTGTCCTTAATTACACAATTTTTAGAAACTTCCCAGAAGGTCACCCATCCCTATATTACTCCAAGTCAAACACGCTTAACTGTGAAGTTCTTATGAGATAAGCTATCGAAAAGTAAATGCATGTTGTTAGTATAAGTAGTACAAATTAATTCATTTAAGTCATCCTCAACTATCCAATCTCATACTTATATTATTTTTGGATCCTTATCATTTTGGTATATACGGACCGTTATAAATATATAATAATATATATAATAATTATATTACTAATAATAATAATTATATTATATTTAATTAATCTTTATTTATATATAACAATTTACTTATTTCTATTTAAAATTAATTTTATGAAACAATTTAAATTATTTATTATAAATTTAAAAGTTTAAGTAATAATTTATATATTTTAAAATGAGAAGGGTTATAATAATACTGGTACAATTTTTACTAAGTATTACACTGCTCGATAAATTTATATTAAATGTGTGAATTTTGTAAATCCAACCGATAGATTGAAAGTTCACATCACTTTATATGTTTATATCAATTTTTGTTAAAATTAAACAACAACTTAAAAGTAATCAAAGTGCTCATATTTTATTTGAAATGTATATATTACGTCAATTTTGTTTTACAAGAATGAAGTATCAAATCATCTTGAATTCATATAAGATTTTGTATATATGATCTAAGAGTAAAAAACTTTTAATCTAACGGTTGAATTTATAAAATTCACATTTAATATAAAGTTATTGAGCGATGTAATACTTAGTAAAAGTTACACCGATGTTATTATAACCCTTCTCTTTTAAAATATTATTTTTATAAATTAAATTTTAACATTTTAAATAAATTATTAATTAACTTAATATATTTATTCATCTTAAATCTAAGATATAAAATTCAAAAAATGTATTTATCCTTGTTTTATTTTCTAATTATCAACCATTAATAAAATACTAATTTAAAATTTAAATATAAAAATTCATTTAAAAATAAAGTTATCATAAGTTAGAAATATATATTATAAATATGGATCAAAATAAATAAGAAATTTTAAAATTCATATACTCTAATTAAAAAACTGCCTAAAAATCCAATCGTAAAAAAAAACCTCTAAATATTTTTTCACATAAATAACTATTGGTATTAATTATGTAGGAGTGCATATAAATATTTTTTTAATATAAATTAATGTCATGCTCTTACAAAAAAAAAAGAAAATGGGATTGATACTCAACAAAAATATTATCATCACTTTTAAGCAATTTATAAATTTTTTTAAGTTTTACTTAGTGACCGAATAGAATTTTATCGCTAATTTTAACTAATATTTAGCAATCAAATAGAATTTTGTTGCTAATTTTAACTAATATTTAGCAACCAAATAGAATTACATCACTAATTGTAACTAATATTTAGTGATCAAATTTAATTTTGTCGCTAAAAAAATCAAAATTTCTGATTTAGAGACCGAATTCAATTCTGTCACTAATTTTAACTAATATTTAGTGATCGAATTTAATTATGTCGCTAAAAAAATCAAAATTTCTGATTTAGCAACCGAATTAAATTTTATCGCTAAATATTAGTTATATTTAGCGACCGAATTCAATTTCGTCGCTAATTTTAACTAATATTTAGTGACTGAATTCAATTCTGTCGCTAATTTTAACTAATACTTAGCAGTCAAATTCAATTCTGTCGCTAAATTTAACTACTATTTAGCGACCGAATACAATTTCGTCGCTAATTTTAACTAATATTTAGCGATTGAATTGAATTTCGTCGCTAAGAAAATCAAAATTTTTAATTTAGTGACTGAATTCAATTCTGTCGCTAATTTTAACTAATACTTAGCAGTCAAATTCAATTCTGTCGCTAAATTTAACTACTATTTAGCGACCAAATTCAATTCTGTCGCTAATTTTAACTACTATTTAGCGATCGAATTAAATTTTGTCGCTAAAAAAAATCAAAAATTATAATTTAGCGACCTTAATAGCGACCGAATTCAATTCTGTCGCTAAATTTAACTACTATTTAGCGACCAAATTCAATTCTGTCGCTAATTTTAACTACTATTTAGCGATCGAATTAAATTTTGTCGCTAAAAAAAATCAAAAATTATAATTTAGCGACCTTAATAGCGACCGAATTCAATTCTGTCGCTAAATTTAACTACTATTTAGCGATCGAATTCAATTTTGTCGCTAAAAAAAATCAAAATTTATAAATTAGCAACCGAAATAAAGATCGAATTTAGTTCTGTCACTAAAAAAATCAAAATTTATAATTTAGCGACCGATTTTCTAGCGACGACTTATTTTGGTCGCTAAATCGGTCGCTACTTTGATTTTTCATAATCGGTCGCTAAATCAGTAGCTAAATAGCAACTGATCATTTTCGGTCGCTATTTTGCAATTTTCTAGTAAGTTCACTTAAGACCTCAAGGTTCACGGATCGAGTCCCAGGAATGTTAAAAATACGAACGAATAAATGATAAGCTAGAAAAAGAAGATAAAGAAAAAAATAAAATAATTTTTGTTTCAACATAGTGTTGACTTAACCGACAATAAAAAATTAAAATAAATAAATTTGTTAGTAATGGCTTAGCCGACACAAAAAAAATTATGTCAACTTATTTAGCGTCAACCAAAAATCGATGAATAACCGACAATATTACGTTAGTTTTTATGATTTAGAGTCGGCTTTTGGCCGACTCTAAATCGAAACATTCTTGTAGTGATCATTGATATGGGTATAGAAGATATCCTAGTAGTTGGTTGAAAGTTCACATGGTATGGACCAAACAACTCTACAAGCAACAAAATAAATAGATTTCTCATATCAAGGGAATGGATGACAATGTTGCCTAGTTGCACAAAATGTTTTGCCTAGGAATATATCTCATATTATTGTCCTATTCTAATGAAAAATAGTATAGTGAACTAGGGTCCAAAACTGTTCAGGTCACTAGACTATTGGTTTGAAGATAAGGAGTTTTTGGGGTTTGTTGAAAAAACCTAAGTGTTAAGGGTTAGGGGATATATGTGTTGAAGGAAAAACTAAAAAGATTAAAAGGAAAGCTTAAAAGTTGGAATAATGAACATTTTTGAGATATTTAATAAAATATCAAGTCGGTGAAAAATATGTTGAATAAGATCAATAAGAATGAGGATAAGGGAGATGTATATGAGGAGAAGAAATAAAAAGGTGTTATACGAACAATTTTGGAATCTAGCGATAAAATAGAGAGTATAGAATATTTCTCATCCCAAATATACAATCCAAAAAGGAAATAACCTATAGTCAAAGCAGTCTATCCAAAATAACATATATTCAAAGTAATCTACCCAAAATAAGAGAGCAAAACAATAACCTATATAAACTAATCCTCCCCAAACAAACTATCACATAATTCTCGTTCCTCTGGAGTTAAGTCTTCAAGATCAAAGTCTCCCTTATCAGTATATACTTGAACTCTTGTGTCATGTTGAAAAGTTTGATGGGTAGGCCTGCCAAAAACATCATGATCAAAAAGTTGCTGATAAAACCTTAAAGCACTTGCAGGTCTCTCTATGCTATGATAAACGTAGTAGTATCGTATATGATGGATCTGCATGTCTGGCCTCCAGTTGAAAGACATCATAAAAGTTACATTCACCTCTATTGTAATTAGTGGTTGGGGTTGCTCGCTTAAGGTATGTACCAAAAGTCTATAATAACTATATAATACATGTGTCCTAACTTATATGGCTATCTCATGGGTATATCAATACTCAGCAAGACAGAGTGTTCTTTGTGGAGTCGTCATTTAAATATGGGCTATAAGGGTGAGTTTTCCCCATTCCTCAAATTCCACAAACATAAAAACAAACATACAACAATACATCATAAAATAAACAAATACATAATCATCTAACAATTTCCAATGGTTTTCTCAACAATTTACTTTCAAGTATCCTAAAAGAATCATTAATGCATTAATTTGTTAACTTGGGTCCAAACACTGTCATCAAAACCTTGAAGTCATGATGGTCTTATGCCACATGTGGATAATTGTCGGTTGGTCAACGCTCCAACAGATACAATATCAGCGCATATACACTACAAGAAAATGACGATTTTGCGACGGTTATATTTTTCTACCATTCATTTAGACATTTGGGGACCAAGCCATGTCACTTCTTTTGGTTTTAGATATTTTCTAACCTTCATTGATGAATTCTCTCGATGTACTTGGGTTTATTTAATGAAAGATCATTCTGAACTTCTACCTATATTCATATCTTTCTTTAATGAGATTAGGAACCAATTTGGCAAGATAATTAAAATCTTTAGAAGTGACAATGCTAAAGAGTATTTTTCTACTTCTACTGAACTCTCTTCCTTTTTATCCTCACAGGGTATTTTACATCAATCTACATGCCCTCACACACCACAACAAAATGACATAACAGAAAGGAAGAATAGACATCTTATTGAAACTGCACGCTCCCTAATGTTGAACATGAATGTTCCCATACATCATTGGGGAGATGCAGTCATCACTGCTTGTTTTTTAATAAATAGGATGTCATCTTCCTCTCTTGAAAATCAAATTCCTCATTCTATCATTTTTCCAAATGACTCGTTATTTCATGTCTCTCCTCGGTGTTTGGTTGTACTTGTTTTGTTCATAATGTCTCTCCAGGTTTAGACAAACTTTCTGGAAAAGCTATTAAATGTGTTTTTCTAAGATATTCTCGCCTTCAAAAAGGATACAAATGTTATTCTCCAACTACCAAGAGGTATTATATGTCTGTTGATGTTACCTTCTTTGAGGACACACCTTTTTTCTCACCCTCCATAGACAATCCTATTTCCTTTCAACAGATTCTTCCTATCCCATTCTCTGATCCAATCATAACCCTCAATCCTTCTATCACCAACCAAGAGGAGACTCAACCTCATACTCATGATACTGTTGAAGACCTTCGTCATTCTAATCCTTTTCTAACAACTTCCCAAACCATGGATCCTTCATCCTCCACGCCATCTCATGATTCCAATTTAGATTGGCCCATTGCTATTCGAAAAGGTAGTCGGCCTACTTGTAATCTTCATCCTATTTATAATTTTTTAAGTTATCACCATTTTTCTCCGTCATACTTTTCCTTTGTTTCCTCTCGGTCATCTACTACTGTTTCTAAAACTATCAATGAGGCACTTGATCATCCAGGATGGCGACAGGCCATGATTGATGAAATGCAGGCTCTTGCACATAATGGAACATGGGAGCTTGTCCCTCTGCCTCCTGGAAAGAAGACTGCTGGTTGTAGATGGGTCTATGCTGTTAAAATTGGCCCTAAGGGTGAAGTTGATTTCCTTAAAGCTCGATTGGTAGCCAAGGGATACACTCAAATTTGTGGTCTTGATTATTGTGATACCTTCTCTCCCGTGGCTAAGATTACCACGATTTGACTTTTCCTTGCTATGGTAGCTATTCGCCATTGGCCATTTCACTAGCTTGACATTAAAAATGCCTTCTTCCATGGTGACCTTGAGGAGGAAATTTATATGAAGCAACCTCCTGGGTTTGTTGCTCAGGGGGAGTGTGATTTAGTCTGTAAATTGCATCGGTTGTTGTACAGATTGAAACAATCACATCAAGCTTGATTTGGTAAATTCAGCCTCATTGTGCAGATTTTTGGATTGGAACAAAGTGAGGCAGATCATTCAATATTTTATTGTCATTCTGCTGAAAAGTGTGTTTATTAAATGGTCTATGTTGATGACATAGTTATTACAGGAAGTGATGCTACCATAATTTCTCAACTAAAAGAGCATTTATTCAGCCATTTTCAGACTAAAAACCTTGGTAGTCTGAAATATTTTCTTGGTATTGAAGTGGCTCAATCAAAGGAAGGTGTTGTCATTTCACAAAGGAAATATGCTTTTGATATTTTGAAGGAAACAGGTTTGGAAAATTGCAAGCCAATTGATAGTCCTATGGATTCAAATCAGAAGCTAATAGTAGACCAAGGTGAGGCTTTTCCAGATCCAGAGAGATACAGAAGGCTGATGGGGAAGCTCATTTATCTCACTATTACAAGACCAGATATTTCATTTGCAGTTGGAGTTGTTAGTCAATTCATGCAAAATCCTCACATTGACCATTGGAATGCTATACTTCACATTCTTAGATATATTAAAAGGGCTCTAGGACAAGGATTGCTATCTGAAGACAAGGGGAATACTCAACTCATGGGGTATTGTGATGCTGATTGTGTAACATCCTTACTACCCCAACACATACATTGTAATAATGTAATTAAATTAAGAAAAATAAACTTTCAAAGTTAGTAAAAAGGTTCACATAAAACTTCATAACTATTCTTTCTTCAATATCCAAAATAACTGGAAATAAAACTTGGAAGGTAAAATTTAAGAGTTTAAAAATTGTTTTCAAAAGACAAGGTATAACTCAAAATACATATAAAAATTTATATCCTAGAATTTTCTGCCCCAATGTCACAATATCATAGCACACCCTCAATTCAACTGTTGGCATCCTAGATGCTACTTAAAGCCGGATCTTCCTCACCTAAAACATCCACAAATTATACGGTGAGAAAAGAAAGCATCTATATATAAAGCACATACAAATATACCAGAAGACTGTAATTTCATCATAACTCATTACATAATGAAATATTTACAATCATTTTTACATATCATAATTTTATCAATCATGCATCAACTTCACATCATAATCACACCAATCCAGTACAAATCTTGCAATTAACCATATGCCAAGGTCACGCCTGTAGCATCTCTTGCTCGAGATCGTGTCACCCCTGACATAAGCATGAGGAATCACCCATCACCATCTTCAACATTACCGGTTAATGAAAATCATAATTTTGAGTCTATTATTAAAACTCAGGAGCAAGAGAGAAAAGATGTTAATGCTTGGAGGACCAATATAAATATGGATATGAAAAATTTTGCGATGGTTTTGAAAAACTGTCGTGTGAAGGGTCGCAATATCAAAGCGACGACGGTTTCTAGATAACCGTCACAATTTGTCCGTCGCAATTTATCATTTTCCTTGTAGTGATATATGACCCCTTGGCTAAAAGTACAACTTGCATCAGCATTAGAAGTGGAACGTGAGGCCTTTAATTTCTAACACGTCAAATGTGTACACCAAATATCAATCAAATTCACCACTTTCTCAAACTTCTCAAGGTCAAAAGACCCATTTTTCCTATACCCCAGTGTATCTCTATAATTATCCACATGATACTTCACTTTTCAACGTGTTTTGTCCTTACTGCACAGTTTCTGGGAAACTTCCCAGAAGGTCACCCATCTCTATATTACTCCAAGTCAAGCACGCTTAGCTATAAATTTCTAATGAGATAAGCTACAGAAAGGCAAATGCATGTTGTCAGTATAGGTAGTACAAATTAATTCATTTAAGTCATCCTTAACTATACATTCTTATACTTGTACTATCTTTGGATCCCTCTTATTTTGATGTGTTCGGACCATTATAAAAATATAATAATATATATAATAATTATATTACCAATAATAATTATATTATATTTAATTAATCTTTATTTATATATATACACTTACTTTTATAATTAACAATCTACTTATTTATATTTAAAATTAATATTATGATACAATTTAAATTATTTATTATAAATTTAAAAGTTTAAAT